GCAAAAAAAAAAAAAAAAAAAAAAAATTAAATAAAAATAAAAATAAAATGAAAAATAAAATGAAAAATAAAATGAAAAATAAAATGAAAAATAAAATGAAAAATAAAAATTAAAATAAAAATAAAAATAAAATGAAAAAAGTAAAATAAAATAATAAAAAATAACAAAAATTTTATTACATTTTTAAAATTTATAATTTATTTTCCTTTTATATACCTATGTATATAATTAAATTTAATTATAATTTAAAATTTTCTCATATGCAATATTTCAAAATATGTAAAACTGAAATATTATATAAAGTATAATTTAAGAAGAACCTTATATAGATATATATTTTTTTCCGAAATTAAATTAAAATTTATTGTTCATTTTACAAGAGAAAAATAGATAAATTTGATATTATATTAAAAAGGAAATTTAATGAAAATTAATATAAATATATATAATTATATATCTTTTTAATTTTATTATGTAAAATATTTATATATTATTAAGAATATAGTAATTATTTCATCTTTTAATTTTAATATTGTAGATTTATTTTCCATTTGTTTTACTTAATATATTTCAAAGAACAAAATTACTAAACATAAATGGCAAAGATTTAATAAATATAAATATTATATATAATATTATAGACAAGTCAAAATTAGTAAAATTTATATATATTAAAAGTCGACATATAAAAGTTAATTATTATTATTAATAAGGAATAAAAAAATTTTTATAAAAATACCCATATTTTATAATTATATTTAAATATATAAGGTAACATATTACTTGTAATTCCTATTAAGTTTTTATAGGAAATATTATATGTTAATTTGCACATATAAAAATAGTAAAATTAAAAAAAGTATTCAAAGAGAGATGATTATTTATAATTTGTTATAACATTTATAATAGTTATTTTTAATAAAATAATAAAATATATCAAGCTTATGTATACATTTCTTTTGTGAATTAAATTATATACAGAAAAAAATTATCATATAATAATAATATTTTTCATATTAATATTTTTTATTAATAATATATATTAACAGAACTTTTAAAATATTTTAGAAAAAAATTACAACTAATTTACACATATGTATATATATATATATATTTTTAGAGATTATTTTCTTTATTTAATTGTTAAATGACATTGGTATATTAGGGATTATATGCAAATGATGTATATGAAAAATTGTTCAGTTTTTTTTTTTTTTTTTGTTGCTAAATAAATGATAATAATTATAATATATGTTTATATATTTTTATTTCAAATTGAAATCTGAAAAGTATCATACATATATTTCATTTTATCATGGTGTTTTATTACACATATTTATATGAGTTAATTTTATTTAAACAACGTAGCCATATAAATATATTAAGAAGAAAAATAATTTCAATAAAAATTAATAGCATATAATGAGCATAAACTAAGAAGATATTTATAGTATAAATTCGAAATGTTATTAAAATAAAAGCGTTTTATATGTTAAATAAATAATAATATGTGTGCAGAAATAAATATACCTTTTTTTTTTTTTTTTCAAAATTTTATTTTAATTGAATAAAAGTATAATCAATAAATGTTATTAGGGAAAAATTTATGTAAAACAACAAAACGCAAGTATTAACTGAGTACTTAAGTATTTAAAAGAATAAAAATTTTATTTTATAAATATATTCAGTAAAAATTAAGTCTTAGAGAATTAAAATAAATATAGAAAGATACATATCTATTTTATTTTACTTTATTTTTTTTTTTTTTTTTTTTGAAAAGTATTGCATTATTAGGATGTAATAAATATTTAACTTCTACAATTTTAAATTACATAGTATTTTTCGTATATGGTTTTAGAAATTATACTTTGTGCATTAATGATGAAGGCAACAATTAAATTTGATTATTATTTTATTTTGTATTAGCTCACTTTCTTTTGCAATACGTTCAAATAAAACAAACAAAAAAAAAAAAAAATAAATAAAATAGATATATTTATAAAATATGTAATAAATAGAATTATTTTATTAAATATTTTAATTTAAGTACATTAATAAATCGCTACAATATTCATTGGTAGCAAACTAAAAGATATCACTAAGAAAAATTCTTTTTATTTTATTTAATCTTTTTTAGATAGCTAATTGCTTTAATGAATTAATATATACAAGTAAAAGTGCATCTAATTTTTTGTTTCTTTATATTTTCTTAAGGAACTTCAAAAATATAGGTAACTCTTTAAATAATTAGCATAAATGAAAAAAGAATAGTAGTAACACACTTGAAAAGGAAAAAATTTATGTTAGTTTTTCTAG